TTAAGGAGCCACTCAGCTACTCTCCTGAGAGATTCATTCAATCAATTTTTATTTTAAGTACCTCTAGGTCATAGATAAGCTGAATAAACTTCCTTTTATTCTTGATAGGTAAAGCACCTAAAGCCAAAATCTGTACAAAACCTTCTTAAATCTTTAACTTGTGAAAATTTCATATATAGTTTATTTCTTCTCCGTGAGGAGATTTTGAAAAATCTCTGAAGAACAGCTTTCCTACTGCCCAAAGTGCCTGCCCTTCACCAAGGAATGTAAATGTTCCTGAAGTCAGGCATCTCACCATATCACTGCCCACTCAAAGATGTCCCATATGGAGGGGCAGCCTTCTGTGGCAGGTGATGGTCAGACTTCTCCCAGCTTCCACAGTCCACAGCACCTGAGTGGATTTCACAAGTATTCTCTTCTACCCTCTAGGTAATGAACCAAAATAACACCAAAAAAATTATTCATACTCAAAGATCACTAAACTCTAATTTCATAAGAGCTGAAGGTGACTCAGCTCCTGGCTATCCAGAAATTGATCTTACTGATTCTGTATGTGAATCACTAACTGAAAATCAAGGACAGTTAACACAGGAGTCGCAGGGATCACCCCATGAGCAGGTGAGCTATCTGAGTGGTGGGGGCTCAGGGCACACCACCGTCATCCCTCACCCTCAGCCACAGCACACAGCGCTTTACACAGGACTCCCAACTACTACTGAGCTGTGTTCCTTAAAAGAATTTCCACATTTGACACTTGCTATGTTTACACACAGACAGAAGCAGAATCAAAGACTGCAATAATCTTCTACTCCCAAGTTATACAGACCAGTATGTCTCTTTATGTTTATGCTGGCCTGAGCTGCATTTTTGTTATTTACAACTGAAAGAGCATTTGCAAATATAAAGGTGTAATATTAAAGACGCTGCAGGGGAGCCTGGGTGGCTCAGTGGGTTAAAGCCTCTGCCTTCAGCTTGGGTCATGATCTCAGGGTCCTGGAATGGAGCCCCACATCGGGCTCTAAAAATTCAGAATGGCACTACAGATAGAGGGATTTGTAAGCACCAAAGCAGATCAACTCAAACTCTTATGAATGGTTTTATAACATACCTTTTCATTACCCATAACTGACTCTCTGCTTAGCGGGGAGCCTGCTTCCCCCTCCTCTCTTTCTACCTACCTCACTGCCTACTTGTGATCTCTGTCAAATAAATACATAAAATCTTAAAAAAAAAAAAAAGATGCTGCAAACAACAAAATATTTTATATGCAAGAGTAGGGAGAAAAATTTTAGACAAAAGCAAATGGCCACAGAAAGACAGTTTGTTTTCCTTTCTTCTGAATTACATGGCTAGAGTGTTTCGAGCTGGTTACCAAATGTGCCATTTACATAAAATCTAACATTAGGTGTAAAACCTCAAATTGATTTTTACCTTCTGCTCAGGTAGAAATAGTACACCTATTTCATGAACAGGCAAATGCACTCAAGGAACTGAAGTTATATTATAAAAGTCCTGTTTTGGTCTGACTCTGATTCCATGTGGGAGAGAAAACACCTCTAACCTATCATTATCTGTTCACAATGAGAACTTTATTTGGCAACCTAATTACTTTGTGCACTCTCAATATGATCTGAATTCCCAGAGAGAGGGTTATGTATGTATTTGTACTAAGGCAAAGAAGAAGAATGGATCAGTTTCTCTCCTATTTTCTCTGAAAGGAGGTATCTTTGTATCTCTATTAGAGGTCTCACTCTGGGGACACCAGTGGCTAAGTGGGTTAAGTGTCTGCCTTTGGTTCAGGTCATGATCCCAGGGTTCTGGGTTTGAGTCTCGCACTCCCTGCTCTGTGGAGAGTCTGCTTCTTCCTTTGCCTGCCGTGGCCCCAGTTGTAATCTTTAAAAAAAAAAAAAAAAAAAAGAAGTCTCACTTGTAACCCCTCTCAGGCAATTAAGAGGTAGGAGGAATGTTTTCTCTAATTTCCCACTCCTTCTCATCTTTACACATACACCATCACCTTATCCTGACACACAGGGGGCACAGCGATACAACAGAGTTATTTTTGAGTTAAATGCTGGACTTATATTTGCTTTTGCAGACTCCTGAATGGGCTTCTTGTTGTCTGTTGCTTAACATTCCTGAAATAATTTAATGATATAATTGAAACAAATGTCAGGAGACTAGCCTTTAAGAAATGCTAGAGAAAGGCTACACTATGTGAATTGGAGAAAACTCTAGTACTCTTACAAGTATACATTTCAGTCCTTCAGTCAAACACCTCTCTGCTATAAATGCAAGTGTGCTGATTTCTTAACTTTCCTGGTCTGTCCTTCTGTAACAAATGAGGCACACTTTGAGGGATAAAATACATGCTCACATACTAAACAAAGTAACAAAAATAATAAACCAAATATAATAAACCAAAATATAATAATAAACCAAAAAATAATAAACAGAGTAACAGTATATAGCTAATAGATTATTCTTTCAGAAGCCTATTACCCGGCTTCAAAAAAAGTATTAAAAATACATAGAGTTCTTTGCAGTCTCTTACGTTAGACCACTAATTTAAATTTAAGCTAATGAGTGGTGGAGTACTATTAGTTAAGAACAAAATCTTCCCTCTCATCACTGATATTTTATTTGTTTATTTATTTAAAGTGGGGAGAGGGAGAGAGAGAATCTTAAGCAGGCTCCCTCCCCAGTGCTTATGCAGGGCTCGATCTCACAACCCTGAAATCATGACCGAGATGAAATCAAGAGCCAGACGCTCAACCAACTGAGGCACCCAGGCACCCCTTATTGTTGACATTTTAGAAAATCACAAAGGAACGCTCTTCCATTATTAGATAGTCGCTCAACCAACTGAGCCACCCAGGCGCCCCAAGAATAGTATTAATTCTAATCCTAACTTTGAACTGATGCTCCAGTATGTTTATATTAGAACTGTTTTCCACTAAAACCTAATTATACAGCCACATATTTCTCCACAGTTGTCACTGTGAATATCACATGAATTTAGAGTATTTTTTGGGAATTCAGTGTATGTATCTAGTGTAACTAATCTAGGGCAGGAGTTAAGAACCCACAGCCTTGACTAGAACAGGTTTCTTACTTTCTCTGTATGTTACCAGATACAACCTGATAAATACAGTCACTTTGAGTAATATGTATATAGTGAGCTTTTGCATTATACATCTCCTACAATCAAACAATACTCTACAGACCAAAAGACTGAATCATGATTAACAGTCAAGGTGCAAAAGGTAATGTCTCTTGACATGCTTCATAAACTTGGTCTCAGAGCTCAGCTGTATTTCTGCACCAGAGATCTCTTCTCAAACCTTCTGTTTATTTTTCAAAAGATATAACTAACAGAGCTACAGAAGTCTGGAAAGAGGGAGCTACTGTGACTTCTTGTTAGTGAGCTTCTGGATACTTTCAGAGGCAGCTGCCTGACACTCCTGTGCATATTCCTAAATGAGTCAAGAAGATGTGACAATACCATAGCTACAGTGATGTGGTTAAGTGACTCAAATGATTCTTTTGAAGTTTATTAAGCTCCACATGGATTTAACTTAAGTGCATACTTCTTTGGGCAAATGCCAAATATATGAAGAAAGAAAAACATTTCTCCCAAACTGAATAAAATGTGAAAAAAGGTATGCTGTTTCCATTTTACTCTCTCACTCCAGCTCCTTCCTTTCTGTCCCCTTCCCAATTTCTCCAATGACTTAACTAGTTAAGAGACTCTTCTTGTTGGGTGGGGGGGGGGGGAGTACTATTCACATCTTAGGACACAGAAATATGGTCTTTGATTTCATTCAGGACACCTCACCCTAGGAGACAGTTGAGTCCTGTTACAAACGGGAATAAAAATGGTTGTAAGTCAGTCACTGAGTATTTAATTTACTTGATCTCTAATTGTATTTACTATATTGTCAGAGGGAGAGATGAGGAATAAGCTTTTTGCCTTCTTCGTTGTAAAAATAGTATCTCCATAGTAAAATATTTCTGTTCCATCTCTTTAAAAAAAAAAAAAAAAAAGTGGGGGTTGGGGGGGCATGTAGCATATTCCTTTGGTGAGGTTTTATGTAAACAGTTAACCTTTTTCGAGACCCATCAATCCCAAAATGGCAGGACACTGAACCACACCACCTATGTAAGATTTTAATGAGCTAAAACACATTTAAAAAGAAACACAGAGCATCAAAAAGAATGCAGCATATCTACAAGAGCTAAGATAGATAGATAGATAGATAGATAGTAGGTATTTTTAAGATTTTATTTTTAAGTAATCTCTACACCCAACGTGGGGCTCAAATTCACAACCCCAAGATCAAGCGTCGCATGCTCCACTGGCTGAGCCAGTCAAGTGCCCAAAGAGCTAAGGGAGGTTAAAGGAGGTTATGATGGAGTACAAATACCATGATTGTATCTGTGTGTTTAAAATGGAAGGAAGGAAGGAAGGGGAGAGACACCTGTGTGTGCTTTCCAGAAAGTTCTAGAAGAACATATGCCAAAGAAAGGTTTCACAACCTTGGCACTACTGACATTGTGGGCCAGTTCTTTGTTGTGGGGAACTGTCCTAAGCACTGTAGGATATTTCGTGACTTCCCTGGCCTCTACCCACTAGAAGCCAGTAGCATCCCCACAGCTGTAACAAACAAAAATGTCTCTAAATATTATTATCAAATGTCCTCTGGTGAGCAAAACTGCTCTCAGTTGAGAATTCCTGCACTACTTAACAGTATCTATCTCCACAGAGGGAAGTAAGATGATAGGAGAGCAACTGAAAAGAAAGTGAGGGCTTTTATTTTTTGCTCTACATACTATACTTCTGTACGGTTTGGATGTCTTAGTCCTCTCCAGCATTTATTACATGTGTTAATTCTCCAGAACAATGAGGAAAATAGAATCGCAAGACCACATGTCTACTGGCCCTGCAAAATGACAGGACACAGACTCCCAATGATCAGAAAACATGTGTAAGCCACACTCACCTTCATGGGGTTTTCATCATATGTTGGGGTTCCCAGGTCCATCTCAGCTTCATGCTCAAGGCTGGCATCATCTCCTGGGCTTTCCCAAGTAGGAGGATCCCACTGAGTCTGCCTAGAAGAAGGTAAGAGCAGCCATGCTGTCATGGCCAGAAAGCAAAGAACTCTGGCACAGGCATCTCTGCTCATATACACATAAAACACAACATATATAATGAGGCAGAATAAGTCAGCTTCGTAAGATAGAGACATTCTTTCGTTACTTCTCCAGCAGCACGATTCTATCCCAGAGACATACATTGTTTAGCCCACTGTATTTCTCTAGCCAACGAGGTGGCAGTGTTTACTGGGTGTCAAAGAGAGCAGTAAAACCAAACATCCTATTTCTCACCAGGCTCTAATGTTCTGGAAAGAGGATTCAGCAAAACCTAAAAAGTACATGGAGTCAGTGCTTGCCTCTGCCTCCCCTCTGCAGGTGAGGAGATCAACAGTGACTGTACCTAGCATGTGCTTGGAGCAAAATAAAATAAATCACAACACACTCCTCATAATCCTTGGCCATGTGAGAAAATTGTTCCTTGCTTTAGGAGTCTTCTTGTCTGTGGTTGTGCCCCTTTGCTTTAATGACTGATAACATGGAAAAGACTTGAGGTTAAAAACTTGTGCCCTGGGGTGCCTGGGTGGCTCAGCCGTTAAGCGTCTGCCTTAGGCTCAGGGCATGATCCCAGGGTCCTGGGACTGAGCCCCACGCTGGCTCCCTGTTCAGTGGGAAGCCTCCTTTCCCTCTCCCACTCCCCCTGCTTGTATTCCCTCTCTCGCTCTGTCAAATAAATAAATAAAATCTTGGAAAAAAAAAAATCAAAATTTATGCCCTTGGCTCAAAATATTCTCAACTGACTGCAAGAAAGGTTCTACCCTGTTAGCTCACAGCACGTTTATTAGTTGCTTTGAAAATAAGCAAGCATAGATTTTTTTTTTTTTTTAAAGCTAGATTTGTGAGTTAACAACTGGAAGTAAGACAATTCATGTTCGGGAGTCTGAAGTCAGCTGCCACAGGGAATGCTATAGGGAAAATCACTTAAAATGTCCAAAGCCTCAGAGAACTAGCAGCCTATCTGACAGGCCAGTCCTGCCACTGCAGTCTTCTTGTGCTCTCCTACCACTCCATCTTTAGTCAGCAACATCACACAAGCTTGATAAAACATAAAGGAAACTATCTGTATGAAATTTTTAAACTCATAAGGCATTACAAACAAAGACATCTGCAATACTCTTGATAAAAAGACCTAACAATAATGACAGAGAACAGGGAGATGCTCCCAAACAAGCAATTCGCAAAAGATACAAGTGGCCAATAATTTACTTTAGATAGTCCATTTCAACAATAAAAGAATCAGAAATGAAAATAAGCTCTCTCGCCTATTAGATTTACAAGAGTAGAAGAAACTACATCAAGAAAAAGACAATACTGTATACTTTTTGTGGGAGTCTACAGTGGTACAATTTTTTTTAACGGTAAGGCCGACAGTAATTATCAATTTAAAATGTCGATTTCTTTTAACCAACAGCACAGTAAGATTAGTGTCTTTAAGGATGTCCAGGGTTGGAGTGAAAACAGTGAAAATCCAACAATGATGGTGGGTTAAGTAAAATTTCGTACAGCCATACAAGAGAGTAGGAGTTGGCAAACTTTTTTCTATAAATGATCAGAGAGTAAATCATCTCTGACTTTGCAGGCCATATGGTCTCTGTCACAACTACTCTACTCTGCCATTATAGTGTGAAAACAGCCATAAATAACTCCTAAACAAATGGGGGTGGCTGTATTCCCCCAAAAACTTTATTTGCAAATACAAGTGGCCTGTGGGCATAGTTTGCTGACCCCTGAAACACAGTATAAGCATGCACTGAAAATGTAGTTCTATCTATAACTGACAAAGTCCTCTACAGATTGGTAAGAAGATTATAAAACATGTACCCCAACAACTCACATAAAATTATATACCAGTGAGTACATACACACACACAGAGAGAGAGAGAGAGAGAAAGAGCGCACATACATTCACATAAAGCTATCTGTCTAAAAGATGTATTTTTTTAAACTTCTAGGTAAAAGATAAATTGGGCTTTTTGCATATAGCAGGGATCATCAAACTATGGCTCATGGACCAAATCTGGCCTCCTGCCTATTTTGTAAATCAAGTCTTATTGGACACAGAAGTGACCATTCATTTATATATGGCCTATGGGCCATTTGCACAACAATGAGAGTTCAGTAGTTGTGAGACTGGCTGGCTGGCAAAGCCCAAAATATTCATTATATCTGGGCTCTTACAGAAAAGGTTTGCTTCTGACCCCTCATACCTACACAATATTAGATGAAGTCATTATCTTTTTATTTTTTTTTTAAGTTTTTTGTTTGTTTGTTTGTTTTTGGCAGAGAGAGACACAATGAAAGAGGGAACACAAGCAGGAGGAGTGGGAGAGGGAGAAGCAGGCTTCCCACTGAGCAGGGAGCCCGATGTGGGGCTCAATCCCAGGACCCTGGGATCATGACCTGAGCCCAAAGCAGACGCTTAATGCATGAGCCAACCAGGTGCCCCGTCATTATCTTTTTAAACTCCAGTTTTCTCCAAGAGTCTTGCAGATTAAAAATATACCAAAATATATCTCTAAAAAGGACTAAAGTCTATGGTCTGACATAACATTTAAGACGGGATTCTGGAAATCTGGCAGCCCTCAAGCGCAATGAACAACAGACAATGACATCAAGCCCACACCCATCAATCTCCTCTTCTGACGGCAGCTTCTTCCACCAACTGAGAGCTGACCTGGGATGCCCACACAGCCCTTCTTACCTTGTGATCACATGGTAGTAATAAATCTTCCCTTCTGGATCTCGGGCTGTCTTCCAGTTGGGAGGTAAGACGATGGTTTTGGGTTTGGGAGGAGAGGGGGGTGGCAGATCCAGAAGATTATTTGTCACTACCATTTCAGGCTAAAAAGAAACACACACAAATTCTTGATCAGTGACCTCTCTTCTAATCTAGCCGAAAAGGACAAAGTAGCCTACTTAATATGTAAAAACATATATCCTCCACCTCTTCTTTTGAAAAACAATAAAACAAAAGTCCAATCTGGGAAATGATCAGAGATGGCTCTATGAATAGCTTTAAGGATCTATCAGAAAACTGACAGTTGGCTCCAAATTCACCATCCAAGAGATCACCTTTAAAAATATATTCAGCAGCTCATTATCTAGAGCAGTATCTTTCAACCTTGATAAAACCAATGCTAAATGGCATATACCAACTTCAGGATACTAATTATATAGAGCTCACTCTCTCTCTCTTTTTTTAAAGACAAAAATCTGAAAAGCAAGTATGACAGAATGTTAACATTTATCTGTTATCTATTTTTCCGTATGTTCAAAACTTCATATTTATATTAAAAAATTTAGTGTCACATTTTGAAAAACATAAAAACTTCACAATCACTGTTAGGGACTGAATTGTTTCCCCCAAATTCATATGTTGGAGACCTAACTCCCAATGTGACTATTTGGAGAAAGTGCCTTTAAAGAGGGAATTAAAGTTAAATGAGGTCATAAGGGTAGTGCCCTAATCCAACAGGACTGGTACACTCATAAGAGGAAGGGACATCAGGGAATGTGGGCAGAGAAAAGGCCATGTGAAGATACGGTGAGAAGACAACCATTTATAAGCCAAGGAGAGGCCTCAGGAGACACGTGCCTGTTGACATCTGATCTTACAGACTTCCAGCCTCTAGAACAGTAAGAAAATGAATTTCTGTTGTTTAAGTCACTCAGTTTGTGGCATTTTGTTATAGTAGCTCTGGAAGACTCGTAATAAACTGCTGTAAGAATATATGCCCTAAACTGTCCATTTTATGTAAACCAGTTAACATAGAATCATTCTTCCAGCTTTACCTTTGCTTGAGCAATCAATGAGGAACCCAAGATCCCAGGCTCAGGTAAAATGCAACCACTTTTTTCTTTTTCAAAATGTGACTACTTTTAAACAAACACAGGTCTTGAAGCATCACTGCTTTGTGTATACCACTAATCCCTACTTCATGTAGCTGCTGTTTTTGGTGTCCTACTTCAGTTCCGCTTCATTCCTGTAGTCCTCTAGCCTTTAAAGTGACCTTTTTTCCCTAAGCTTCTGTGTCACTTAAGAATACTTCAAATCCAGGGGACCTGGGTGGCTCAGTTATTAAGTGTTTGCCTTTGGCTCAGGTCATGATCCCAGGGTCCTGGGATCGAGCCCTGTGTCAGGGGCTCTACTCAGTAGGAAGCCTACTTTGCCCTCTCCCACTTCCCCTGCTGGTGTTCCCTCTCTCGTTGTCTCTCTGTCAAATAAATAAATAAAATCTTTGCAGGAGGGAAAAAAGAATACTTCAAATCCAAAAAGAAAAAAACAAAACAAAAAACAAAACAAAACAAAAAACACTTCAAATCATTCAGAACTTAACCAAATTACTAATCCTTCCCACACTTGAGAATGGTTCTTTCCCTCCTCAAACTAGCTCTACTTTTTTTGTGATACTAATTGTACTTTTTTGTGATACTAATCTCTACTTTTAGGATTATTCATTGTGATCCTTAACTCTCTAAGTGGAATGTGAGCTTCTGAGAACAGGAATGGAAGCTTAGGTTTGTATTCAGAGTTCCTAGAAGGGCCCAACTCACAGCAAGCCCTCAAGTATCTGCTGGAAGTGCAAACGGTCTCAGCCCCCAAATGTCTCACATGCGGTCTTTATACTCCATCTCCACTCACTGTCCTACCCGCCAAAAGCCACCATCACTCATGGGATCGCTGCAGGAGCCTTCTCTGAACTGTCAGAATTCCAAAGCACTAATAGGTAAGTTATTCTGTTTGGCTGCTCAACTGCTTCCAATGTCAGCCTCCTAGTTCCCACTTCAAGATTTCCCCGTACCCTCCTCCATATGTGGAAGAATGCCATACTGTACAACGTGTACAGTGAAGTATATCACTCATTTCTATACCCCCAGTCCACAGTGTCTAGTGTAGTATCATATTCTAGGGCTCCGTAAAATAAAAATAGTGACTTGAGAGAACTGTTACATTAGAATTCCTAGCAAAGGGGCGCCTGGGTGGCTCAGTGGGTTAAAGCCTCTGCCTTCGGCTCAGATCATGATCCCAGGGTCCTGGGATCGAGCCCCACATCGGGCTCTCTGCTCGGCGGGAAGCCTGCTTCCTCCTCTCTCTCTGCCTGCCTCTCTGTCTACTTGTGATCTCTATCTGTCAAATAAATAAATAAAATCTTAAAAAAAAAAAAAAAATTCCTACCAAAGTATAAAAATACAAGTCAGTCAGATAAAATTACAAATAAAATGGATAGCAGGAGCAAAATATGTATCTATCAACATTGCTGTAAATTTCACAGAATTTTTTAAAAAATGGTGAGTAATGCTTCCTCTGGGACATAAGCACTTACACGAAACTGGGGACTACAAAAGTTAAAAACAAAAAACAGAGTGGAAAACAAAACAAAACAAAAAAGTAAACCTTCTAAAGATGAGATACGCAGCCAATGAGCATTTTATCAACTGAAATATTTCTCTTACTGGCTGTAAGGGCTGAGGTTGCCCTGGTGCAACTATTGTTGTCACGGCCGCGGCTGGCTGGACCACCACTCCTTGTGGGTGAGCTGTGAAAATCTGCTGTCCCTGGATATACTGAAGACTTGGCTGGGCATAATTCTAAAAGATAAAATGAAGAAATCCAAAATTTAGACTTTTCTAGCTCTAATACAGCAGTAATTAACTTCGAAGTTGGCATCACCTTATTGGAATCCATTAATTTAAAAAAACTTTTAGTAAAGAATATTTGAATACAAATGTGTAAAAGTCTTCTGTTGCAAACACCTAAGATTCTTTTTTTTTTTTTTTAAACAATTCCCTAGTCATTTACTTACCTTGGTTTTATCATTTTAAAAAGAAAAAAAGAAAGAAACTCACAAAAAAAAAAAAAAACCCAAAACACTTGGGCGGGCTGTGGGTGGTGCTCCTAAGAGCTGTCCCAAGCGGCAGTACCAACGGTATGTGGCACTTATGATATCCAAGAGATTGTTCCCCAGGACTCTTTGCACAGAACCTTTATACCACCAACTCCTAAAAACTGCCAGGTATTCTGGGCACCTGGGTGGGTCAGTGGGTTAAGCCTCTGCCTTTGGCTCAGGTCATGATCTCAGGGTCCTGGGATGGAGCCCCGCATCTGCTCTCCGCTCAGCAGGAAGCCTACTTCCCCCAATCTCTCTCTGCCTGCCTCTCTGCCTACTTGTAATCTCTGTCAAATAAATAAATAAAATCTTTGAAAAACAACAACAACAACAAAACCTACCAGGTGTTCTGACCAGAAAATGTCAGAGAGTGAGGGAGCAGAGGAAGTAAGATGGTGATCAAATTTTAAACTTGTTTTTTTAGCTTTCTGTAGTCTTCGATAATAAAACTCCTTCCAAGTAAGACAGCAGAATTCATTTGATCCAAAATTCTTACCACATACAGGTAGGTTCATACCGTGCTTTATGAAGCTTAGAAAGAGCCCTTTCACATACATGGTCTCATTAAGTCCTGATCACCATCAGAGGTGGGTGTCTCCCACAAGGGGAGCAATCTAAGAAAGTGCCACAGCTCTAACTTACACCTAGTCTGGAATTAGTTCTGACAGAAAAACTGCTTAAAGAAGAGGTGACAAACATATCCCGAAAAACAGCTCTGTTGTCTTAAGAGGTGATGAATACCAAGGAAATGAACAGGTATCCTGTACTTAAGGACAGATTTTGATCCTACAGACTGAGATTATACCACATAAAACGATTTCAGAGGCATATATTGAAAAATACCCAAAATGTAAAATATAACCATTCCAAGTGATACCAGTAAAGAACCAAGGAGTCTGAATAGGCCAATGGAACTAAAAGATTTCTGGATGAGTAAGTACTGAGAGGGCACCAAGAAAAAGAGAAGAGGAGTACGACACAGTTGACCCTTGAACAACATGGATTTAAACTGCATGGGGCCACTTAGCAGATAGTATATTCCACAGTATAGTATTGTAAATGCATTTTCCTTATGATTTTCTCATTTTTTTTTCCTCTAGCTTACTTTATTTTAAGAATACAGAACATAACACATATAACATACAAAATATGTGTTAACTGACCATTTACCATTAAGGCTTTCAGTCAACAGTAGTTTTGGGGGAGTTAAAAATCATATGCAGATTTTTGTTTGAGGGGAGTTGGTTCCCCTAACCCCTGAATTATTCAAAGGTCAACAGTACTTGATTCAATATTCTGGAACAGCTTAATCTACACAGAGAAACCAGACACAATATTGTCAAGGCAGAATTATTATCCAAATAATATCACAAAATAGAAATGCTTTCATCTCTAAGTATTTGGATACAAGATGGGAAACCTGCAAAACATCAAAGATTTTGTAGAAACAAGTATTATCTCCCAACCTAATTCTGGTCCCAAAGCATGAAATCTGGTTAAACCAAAAGGACTTTTTAACGCTGATGCATACCCAGACAATACTGAATCAGAGTTTAGTACAAAACGATTATCAGCAAAAAAGATGATCAAATACTATCCAAGAAATTTAAAAGTATAATCTTAAAAGTGAAGTATAAATAATTCTTTTTAAGTTCGATTTCAACTTTGCTGAAAATAAGCCATGAAACAAAACATATCTAGCTGGGTTCTGGTCTATGATCACCACTTTACCCGGAAAGTGAACTTCCAAGAGTCCTGATGGCCAGCAGGAAGAATCTTGAAGAGTGGATACAAGAGGCAAGTTACTGTGCATGTAGGGGGTTAATATATATGCGCTGGTAAATCTGATGCTGAGTAAAAACAGTTTCTGGGGGTGTGCCTGGGTGTCTCAGTAGGTTAAGGGTCTGACTCTTGGTTTTGACTCAGGTCATGATCTCATGGGTGGTTAAGACCAAGCCCCACACTAGGCTCTGTACTCAGCGCTGCTCAGGATCCTCTCCCTTTGACCCTGTCCCCACTCGCGCACAAACATGCACGCACACTTTCTCTCTTTCAAATAAATAAATAAATCTTTAAAAAAAAAAGTTTCTGGGGGACTGAAGAAGGCAGTAAACTGATAAACATGTTATCTCCAGAGTGATCAGGAGGTCAAGCACTCAAATCTGCAACAGAAAAATGCTAACATTTTGGAGGCTAAAAGTTCCTTTGACCTTCAGTGAAACTTTGCTCCTGGAAAATCTGTCTGACAAGATCAGAGTTAGTAAGTAAGGCTCATCAATGGAGACACTTTAAAGGACCTGATTAATGTAAAGTAATGAAGTAAAGCTATGGTTTCTTTAGCATGAAGACTCTCGCTCCAAGTGCTGGCTATGTGGTAACTTCTGAACTGCAATGGCTTTATCGAGCTGGATCATTCTCTGTATTTGCCAGAGGAGGCTCCAGACAAATTTCACCTGTTTCTAAAAAGCAAATATATATTTAAAGGATGATAATTTATCATCAGGAGAGAATGGAACACATACTGGAAATAACTTCCAAAGGAAATGCCAAAAATATCTGAACCGTATCAGCCTTGCTAGACTAAAAAAAAAAGTCACCCAAGATAGCAGCAAATCATTTAGAGGTACAGTCTTTAAAACCCAGACTGTCAAAAAGAAAGAGGAAAATGAACATCCTTCAGGCTTCTATAGAAGCTATCCAAACCAGCGGACAAACACATGTCAATGCCAAAACTAACAACAGCAATAAAAAGGGAGAACAGGTTTGCAGTCCCACTGAGGTTCGTATGGAAGATGTTACACACTTGTGAGACACAAACAGCATATGCCGATCAAGTCTCTCTATCTGCAGGGTTGGGGGGGAATCTGTAGGACACTGGCTCTCCCCTTCAAGAGACATGAAATTACATAAAAGCTAATTTTCTCAAACATCAATCCAGTCTATCTTTAAAATGGGACTTCCCATGGAATTTACAAGAGAAATCTAAAAATGTCTAAAATGTTATAGAAGGGAAAACATGATTATTCTGCCCCTACTTCTAGAGAGGGAAAAAAATCACTATTACTTTATAACTGAGTCACTTCACTTTATAATGTGAAAAATTATAGTCCTTAGCACTGCATTTTTTTTTGAGATGTGATTCAGTACGACTTTGTAAGAATAGGCCACTTAGTAATGTCACAAAACCACCATAAATCATGTGGTCTCTGTAGAAATCGGGCTTTTATGTTTAATAAGCAATTACAGCAAAAAAATGAAAGTCACCTTCTGATCACACATCTGCTCCAAATGTCAAACATATTGCATATGTACACACACACAAACTTGTGTTATATCACCTACTACCTTCACTGTCAAAGTTATATCTTGCAAACTCTCAGTAGCCCATGTTGGTACGGTACTATGCTCAAACACAAACCTCAAGGCCTCCTCCTGGAGGTCAGATCGTTAGACCAGACACTAGAAGATGACCCTGACTAGGAGGATTTCACACCCCAGTAACATCAATACTCTCTCAGTATCATTAAGGTAACTGAGTAATAACTATAATTAAGCCTTCAAGGTACATGGTGCTTTAAATCTACCATTATTAGTATCCATTAGCTCATGCAAACCTCAACCACTCTGAGGCATTCAGCTCATTTCATAGATAAGTAAAACTGAAGAATATAAATGAAGCAGCTGTCTCCAAGACATACATGAAATGATGGACACAGACTCCAAACACACACTGACAACATGTTCTATGATTCTCATCACCCAAAGCCCGGCATCATCTCTGGTAACTAATCTCACAGAGAAAGAAAGAACAGTCTGGACCATCCAACTCCATTTACCTACCACTCCAGTACAAACAAAATACATTAGGGAGCTAACATATGACTCCTTGGTAGAACGAAAAGGAAAACTGCAAGCAAGCAAAATTGTAATGCTTGAGTCCTAAGGCTATGCCTAAACCTTCTGCTCAGTGGGATGGAAAAAACAGACTCCATTTCATCATAAGAATGGCCAAATGACCAGTTAACTCTCTCCTGGCGAGTCTTTAATAAATATCCTCCACTGCTGTTGTTTATGCTCTAAAACCTAGGTTAAGGACATACTTCAGGAATAGAAATGGGATAGCAGCAGACCATAATCCTTACATCTGATACACATTCTCAGGGAAAATCTCAAAATGCACGGCTTGGTCCACGAAAGAATATGGTAAGAAAGCAGAAGTCAGAATCTAAGAAATTTAAGACACTTAAAACATTCTGTAGGAGGCAAAATTAAACATACAAAAAGAAAGACAATACTTAAAAAATTGATACCTAATGGCCAATAATACCCATTTTCTTTTCTTTTCTTTTTTAAGATTTTTTTTTTTAAGATTTTATTTATTTATTTGAGAGACAGACAGTGAGAGAGAGCATGAGCAAGGAGAAGGTCAGAGGGAGAAGCAGACTCCCCATGGAGCTGGGAGCCCGATGCAGGACTCGATCCCGGGACTCCGGGATCATGACCTGAGCCGAAGGCAGTCATCCAACCAACTGAGCCACCCAGGCGTCCCTTTTTAAGATTTTTATTTATAAGGGGTGCCTGGGTGGCTCAGTTGGTTAAGTGTCTGCCTCCACTTCAAGTCATGATCCCAGCTGGGGTAGGGTCCTGGGATCAAGGCCTTCGGGGAGTCTGCTTCTCCCTCTCCCCACTCCCTCCCACCCCCCCATCTCTCTCTCTCTCTCTAGTAAATAAATAGAATAAAAAAAGAAAAAAAAGATTTTTATTTTTAAGTAACCTCTAAACCCAACATGGGGCTTGAACTCACAACCTGGAGATCAAGAGTTATATGCTCCACCAACTGAACCAGCCAGGCACCCCAACACCCATTTTATTAGCCTTATTTAGCACTACAATATTCATTGTAAGCCAAACATGAAAGAAAAAAGCAAAAGAAACCTAAGAATGTTCAGTGAAGTGCTATTTATAATTATAAAAAGAACTTTTAAATGACTACCCCCAGAAAAATGGGTGAGAAATTATTTGATAAGCAAATGGGATGTTATATAGCCATTAAAATGCATATGCGTATATATATTCACATGTGCATATATAAAAATACAGAGTAATTTGGGAAAATGGTTAAGAATCATGTTAAGTATAAACAATGGGATAGTTCCAAATCTTCAAAATTACAAATACATAAACTATATAAGCATGTGGATAAAGAGATCATCCAAAATGAACGTAGTTAACACTTAGAATTTTAGGAATTAAAACTGGATACCTTGTCATGGCCTTACAAACTAAATTTTGATGCAGCTTCATCACAAAAATAGTGACAAATCACGGTACTGGTCAGTACTAAGTAATGTGTGCAGGAATTATCTCGGCAAATCTCCCCCATCCACAAAAATTCACCTTTAAGGAGTGATGTGAGAGACATAGGAATGTGGTGAGGAGGATGCTTTATACATTCTTTGTTTTTTTAAGCTTAAAATGTACTGCTGTATTCTACAGAAAAGAAACTTGATTTAAAAGCACAAAAATAGGGACACCTGGGTGGCTCAGTGGGTTAAGCCATTGCCTTCGGCTCAGGCCGTGGTCTCGGGGTCCTGGGATTGAGCCCCTCCTCGGGCTTCTCTGTTTGGTGGGGAGCCTGCTTCCCTCCCCACCCCCCGCCCTCTGCCTGCCTCTCTGCCTACTTGTGATCTCTTTGTCAAATAAATAAATAAAATCTTTAAAAAAAAAAAAAAAGGCACAAAAATACACTTTGAAATATAAAATCAGTACACTCAGCCTTTAAATTTAACATTACTATTTCCTACTATAGTGATATCCTCCGGCTCAGTGCATCACAGACACTCTGGCAAAATTTGTGATGATAAACATGTAGGGGATAAAAAAATATATACACACCAGGTCTCAGAAGAAAAGGACAAGCCATCTCCTGACTCAGTTACCATGACAAAGGTTCTCCCATTGTAGCAATATAAAAGAATTAACTGTGTATTATTCACTGCCTATAAGCAAAAAGGAGAGAAGTATCCAAAAGCTTCTCTCCATCTCTTGCTTTGGGGGAAGTCATCTGGACACTGTAAGAAGCCCTATAGAAAGGTCCATATGAAGACAGAAAATGGAGTTAACTACCATGTAAGTGAGCTTCAAAGTGAATCTTCCATCCTTTGCCTAACCTTCAGATGACTACAGCCTTGGTTAACAGTCGGACTCTAATTTCATGAAAGACTCTGAGTCCAAACCATCCATCCAGACAAGCTACTTCTGAATTCCTGACTCACAACAACTGTCAGATAATAATTACCAGTTGTCTTAAGCTGCTAAATTCTGGTGTAATTTGTTACATAGCAGGAGATAACTAATACATATGCAACTGATTGATATGTAAAAGTAATCAATGGCAGGACTCCCCCTTCACATCAGATTTAACATCCCATAAACAGAACAAGACAGACAAGAGAGGTTCCGAAATTAGTTACCTGTACAATTGGTGGAGTTGTCTGTGAATAGGGTGACGTCACACCATAGACAGTTGGGCAAGTCTGTCCTTGATAATATATGGTTGCTTGAGACTGTGCAGGAGAATACTGCTGCTGGACACTGACTGACTGTTGGTTTGAATCCCAAACACCATAATTCTGTCCTTGGACTGGGCCTGGGGCTGGCACTGGCAAGACGGTGACGCTGGAGTCTTGATGTACCACACCTTCACTTTGGGCCACATACTGTGAACTGGAAACTTCCACAGGGGCTGCCACATGGGGCACCACTGGCACGGGTGGAGGGGCAGCAAGGGGTTCTGTAGAATGTCCCACCAAGGGCTGAGAATGATCATAAGGAGCAGGAGAACAAACGGGGTCCATGTTGGGTGTGGGAAGGAGCACCTTCCCAGCATTAGGGTTGCTGGGATCCACATAGGCCTGCATGGGATAACCTGGTGGGTAGCCGGCAAAGGGGTGATGAGGGGCATTGTAAGCAAGAGAGTCATAGGGCAGTGGAGATGTCATTCCCAGGGTCTGCATCTGCTGCTGTTGTTTCTGAGCCTCCCGCTGAGCCACCTCTTGCTCAAACAACTTCCGACGCTCCTCTGTAGAAAGTTTATTGCGGTCTTTAATTCGTACTTTCTTTTTAGAAGTTGGTGTATCATATCTAGAAAGAAAACAGTCAGAGCATCACAAATGTTCTTCCCTAAATCAAGGACATAATCAAAGCATTAATAAAGGTATGTCACTCAATACTAAACCACTAATCACGCCAAATCCAATTTGGCATTGGTTAAAAATCAGTCAAAATTACTTAAGGAATCCTGCAGATAGAAGAGAATCTCAAGAAAACATCTAGAAGAAAATAGTAACTTTTTTTTTAAATTTTTATTTATTTATTTAACAAGCAGAGATCACAAGTAGGCAGAGAGGCAGGCAGAGAGAGAGAAAGTGGGAAGCAGGCTCCCTGCTGAAGCAGAGAGCCCAATGTGGGGCTTGATCCCAGGACCCTGGGATCATGACCTGAGCTGAAGGCAGAGAGGCTTTAACCCACTGAGCCACCCAGGCGCCCTGAAAATAATAACTTTTATCTTTTTTTTTTTAATTTTATTTACTTATTTGACAGAGAGAGACATATCACAAGTAGGCAGAGAGGCAGGCAGAGAGAGAAGGGGACACAGGCTCCCTGCTGAGCAGAGAGCCCAATGCAGAGCTTGATCCCAGGACCCAGAGATCATGACCTGAGGGGCCAATAACTTTATCTTTATTCTCAGATTCTAGAACTCCAAATTAAAGATACATATAATATTCTAAACACATTCTTCTTTACACTTGCATAGCTCTCTATACAGTTCTAGGTTTATAAATTCTGAAATTAAAACAAAATACACTAATAAAAGCTACAGAATTTGATGTCTATCTGACCACATGTATTCATGACAAATTCAAAAGAGAGCACTTAAGTGAAGGATGAGAATGCACACAGAAAAGTATGGGGAGTTATATTCAGCTCCTCTTCGCTGTGCAATACCAAATATAATAATATATTTTACTGCTAAGCCTAACGCCCTATGATGGTTTTGACAAGGCCTCTTAGAAACCATCAGCTCTAACATTCAAAGGAAGAAAACTGACGGCTTTTCTTTTCTTTTCTTTTTTTTTCTTTTTTTTTTAAGATTTTCAAAATTTATTTATTTGACACAGAGAGACACAGTGACAGAGGGAACACAAGCAGGGGGAGTAGGAGAGGGAGAAGCAGGCTTCCTGCTGAGCAGGCAGCCCCATGTGGGGCTCAATCACAGAACCCTGGGATCATCACCCAAGCCAAAGGCAGACACTTATCAACTGAGCCACCCAGGTGCCCCAAGAACTGAAGGCTTAAAAGAGTTTGTTGTGAAGTTCTTTTTTTTTTTTTTATAATTTTTTTTTTTTTTTAATTTATTTATTTGACAGACAGAGATCACAAGCAGGCAGAGAGGCAGGCAGAGAGAGAGGAGGAAGCAGGCTCCCTGCCGAGCAGAGAGCCCGATGCGGGGCTCGATCCCAGGACCCTGAGATCATGACCCGAGCCGAAGGCAGCGGCCCAACCCACTGAGCCACCCAGGCGCCCCAGAGTTTGTTGTGAAGTTCTATGGAGTGAATCAAACTTCTGAGAAAGTGTTCTTTGCAAAAATTTAAAAACAACAACTAATTTCAAGAGGTTTCATTGCAAAAAAAACATCTAAGAACAGCTTCACAGACAAGGGCATAACATTTATCCAAACAACAAAAAACAAACGGTACAAAAAACTCTTAAGCTGAAAGTTTCCTTTAAAGTGTTAATGGGGGGGGTGGGATTATGGACATTGGGGAGGGTATGTGCTATGGTGAGTGCTGTGAAGTGTGTAAACCTGGCGATGCACAGACCTGTACCTCTGGGGATAAAAATATATTATATGTTTATAAAAAATAAAATTAAAAAAATAAATAAATAAAGTGTTAATGGGAAGTGCCTGGGTGGCTCAGTGGGTTAAGCCTCTGCTTTCGGCTCAGGTCATGGTCTCAGGGTCCTGGGATCCAGCCCACATTGGGCTCTCTGCTCAGCGGGGAGCCTGCTTCCCTCCCCCCCCCCGCCCCGCTCCCATCTCTGCCTAGTTGTGATCTCTGTCAAATAAATAAAATCTTGAAAAAATAAATAAACAAAGTGTTAATGGGATGGTAGTATCCTTAGCTGCCTGGCAGAAACAAATGCAATTAGTCTACAGAAGAAAGCACCTTAAATCCAAAAATCTAGGCTTTCAGTGAATTCCCACAGATCAAATTCTAAAGAACATGATGAGTTCATTAAAAAATAAAATTATAAAATTATACATATACCTATATAAACAAATGAGAGGAAGAAACCCACAAAAACTGGTACTGGAATTATCCGACACAGACTATAAGAGACATTTATGTTTAATGAAATAAGAGGCTATTAAAAATATTACTAAGGAATGGGACCATAAAAAACTATCAGGTAGACTTGAAAAACCACCTCATGAAACATCTAGAAAGGAAAAAGAGTGGAAATTAAAACTCAATTATCACATAAAATTGAGCATGCACATACCTGACAATTCAACAATTCTACTCATATACCTGAGACCCTGTTACATATGTACCTCATAATTAGATAACTGCACTATACCTAACAGAAAAATCCAAATGCCTATCCACATTTTACAACAAAATGTTACATACAACAATGAAACAATCCAAACAAAACAAAAACAATCCAAATGCCTATCCACATTCTACAACAAAATGTTACGTACAACAATGAAAAGGAATAAACTGATACATACAATTGTGGATAAATCTTAGCAATACAATACCAAATGAAAACAAAGTACCCTCAAATTAAACACAGAAGAGCGGCCTTTTCATAAAGTTAAAAACTAATATATTATTTTAAAATATATATTAGAGGACATAAAATGGTACTTTAAAAAAGGAAAGCCAGGGTATAATGAACACAGGAAAAACGACAGGCATCTCAAGTAGTAAAGGCAGGGGATAGTATAGATACATGGTATGGTTAAGCAAGAGATCAGATCTGAAGAGAATAAGTAACAGAAGACAATCTTCAAATTCAAAAAGCTCAATGAATTTCAACCAGAGAAAAGAAGAAATTCTCATATAAACATAGGGTAGTGATACTGCAGAACACCAAATACAAAGAGAACATCTTAAAAGCAGAACAAGAGAGGGGCGCCTGGGTGGCTCAGTGGGTTAAGCCTCTGCCTTTGGCTTGGGTCATGATCTCAGGGTCCTAGGATAGAGCCCCGCATGGGTGTGGGGGCGGTTCTCTGCTCAGCGGGGAGCCTGCCTCCCCCCTCCCTGCCTGCCTCTCTGCCTACTTGTGATTTCTGTCAAATAAATAAATAAAATCTTTTAAAAAATTAAAAAATTTTAAAAAGAGAAAAACTTTAAACTCAGCAAAACTTCCTTTTAAAAAATGAAGAGTCCAGGGTGCCTGGGTGGCTCAGTGGGTTAAAGCCTCTGCCTTCAGCTCGGGTCATGATCCCAGGGTCCTGGAATCGAGCCCCAAGTCAGGCTCTCTGCTAGGCGGGGAAGCTCCTTCCCTTCCTCTCTCTCTGCCTGCCTCTCTGCCTACTTGTGCTCTCTGTCTGTCAAACAAATAAATAAAATCTTTTTTTAAAAAATGAGAGTCCATGTTCACATAAAGACTCATACATGTATATGTCTTACATTTGTAATATTCACAACAGCCACCTGGAAACAATCCAAATGCCTATCCACTAAGGAATCTGTAATCAAATTCTGGTATACCTACCCAATGGACTACCACTTATTAATAAAAAGGAACTACTGGAACACATAAAAACATGAATGGATCTCAAATGCAATCTGCTAAGGAAAGACACATCAAATACTATCTAAAGTATGATGTCATATATACATGACATTCTGGAAAAGACAAAACCATTGGGTCAGAAAGCAGGGCAGTGGCTGGCTGCCAGGAACTATGGGTAGAAGAAGGGGACCGCCTACAAAGAACTCAAAAGAATTTTCTGAGATGACAGAAATGTCTGTATGATGACTGTGGGTGGTTACGTAACTGCATGCATTTGTCAAAACACACTGAATTATATACTTATGATATTTCTGTAAGTAATTTATATCTACTGATTAAGTAAAGCTGATTTTTAAAACTGAAGGTGAGCAATGCAAACAAGATTTTTTAGACAAAAACTGAAAAATAAGATGAACAAAAAGTCACTAAACAAAATCTTCTAAAGGAAGGTCTAAGGAGAAAGAATGGAGAACAAAGAAATTGACAAATGTAAACAAATTAGTAAGTCAGTTTGTGTACACATAAAAAGTTGACAATAACGAATGGGACGAAGCAACAAGAAATTACAATGCTGGACAGTAACAGCATATAAACTGAACGATCAGAGTATCCTAAAGTACAAATGTTGTTCAGGATATTGATTAGCTTTAGATTTTATTTAAGTGAAACAACCAGTTAAAGAAATGCCAATCAATCATCCATAAAGCTATTTATCTATCAGACACAGAAAAGTTAAAAGTAAAAGGAAGGAAAAAATACATTATCAGTTAAATCCTACCAACAGGAAGATAGCATACTTCTATTAACATCAAATGAAATAGATTCTAAAGCAAGTCTCAATAAAATTCTAAGAGCTGGTATAATATAAACTGATTAATAGCAATTAAATTTGAGATTTAACAAAAATAAATTTAAACACATTGCAAGCCATAACAGTATCTAGAACTAGGTTATGATAAAACTGCACTATCGGGGTACCTGGGTGGCTGGGCCATTAAGCGTCTGCCTTTGGCTCAGGTTGTGATCCCAGGGTTCTGGGATCGAGCCCCACATTGAGCTCCCTGCTCAGTGGGAAGCCTGCTTCTCCCTCTCCTACTCCCCCTGTCTTTGTTCCCTTTCTCGCTGTGTCTCTCTCTGTCAAATAAATAAATAAAATCTTTCAAACAAAACAAAACAAAACTGTGCTATCAAAAGAGTAGTTCAAATAGTACTTACGGAGAAATTTAAATCCTTCAACACTTTACTTTGAAGAGAAAAATGCTGAAAATTAATGAGCTAAAAAATCTCAATTATTCCAATTAAAAATTTATAAAAAAAAAAAAATAAGCCCAAAAAAGTGGAAGAAAATAAAACATGACTAGAAATCAATTACCCCTCCCCCCAAAAAACAAAACACTGTTATTCTGTGATTTGTATTGGAGGCACTGCTAGCAAAATAGCAAGAAAGACGAAAGGAAAAACAAAAATTTATATGATGGGGATTGTTGACAAATACAAAAACAAAAAGGGAAAAACCCCTATACTTTTGAAATATCGGTGAGTTTCTTTGTGGTCACCAAACATGAGATCAATATAACAAAAGTCAACAGCACATCTACATACTAGCAACAAGCTGAAAACGTAACCAAAAATTAAGGTTCTCAGAAATGAATATACCAAGATACCTAAGTCTTTCTGCAGGAAACTATAAACAAATAAGGAGATTAACAAAAAATTCAATATTTAAAATATTAAAGAAGACCTAACTAGACAGAGCATATCTGAATACTCAGTTTGAATATAGGAACAGAAATACTCAAAAAACTGTTAAAGATGTCAAGTCTCCTCAGAATCACCTTGTTGGGGGGGCGGGGTGGAGAGAGTAGGAGAAATCTGACAAGCAGATCCTAAGGAGAACAAGTCTCAGAAAAGAGATGACATCCCAGAAGATCAAGCAGGGGTTTGCCCTACTTGCTATCAAGACTTAATATAAGCTACAGTCACATTATGAGCCCCAAAACAGATCCTCCCACATATAAAAGCTTATTAGAGAGAGACAGTGTTGCAGATCAAGGAGAAAGGACAGGCTTTCAAGTAAATGGTGCAGAGACAATTGGGTTCACTTAGAAAAAAATGAAAACCATATCCCTACCTCACAACATACACAAAAATTAATTCCCAATAAATTAAGCACAAGAAAAGAAGAGAGTTATCATCACCTCAAGGACAGGGAAGAATTTCTAAAACACAGCACTAACCATGAAGGAAACATACACGTGATGTAGTCAATTACACCATAATTAATAAATTCTATATATCAAAAGACACAAAGGAGTCAAAATATAAGTCGCAAACTGGGAAAAAATACTTGCAAAAATTATTACCAAAGCAGAATTATATTTAGAATATAAAGAACCCCTAAAAAATAAATCCTAAACTCAAAAAGATAAAAACTAAACAAACAGCACCTATTAAAAGACACTTCACATTAGAGGAAACAGGGATGACCAATAAATATATGACAAGATGTTCAATCTATTTAACTATTAGGGTAATGCAAATTAAAATCATGATGAGGGGCGCCTGGGTGGCTCAGTGGGTTAAAGCCTCTGCCTTCGGCTCAGGTCATGATCCCAAGGTCCTGGGATTGAGTCCCACATCAGGCTCTCTGCTCAGCGGGGAGCCTGCTTCCTCCTCTCTCTCTGCCTGCCTCTCTGCCTACTTGTGATCTCTGTCTGTCAAATAAATTAAAAAAAAAAAAAAAAAAAAACCATGATGAATTTACTATTACAAACTCTGACAATCCCAAATTAAAAATTCTGGCAACTGCATTATATGAATGCAATACTTCATGTTTTCAAAAAATAAATTTAATTTTATTTTTAAAAGTTTTTTTACTTATTTGAAAGAGAGAGAGGGAAGGAGCACATAAGCAGCAATAGGGGCAGAGGGAGAGGGAGAAGCAGACTCCCCGCTGAGCAAGATTAGAGTGAGGGACTGGATCCCAGGACCTTGAACCATGACCTGAGCTAAAACCAGATGCTTAACCAACTGAGCCACCCAGGCACCCCCACAAAATAAATTTAATTTTAAAAAAACTTCTCTGGAATAAATGTTTTCTAGTACCCAGTGGGTCACCATGTGGCTTGTTTTTCTACAAGCATGGCAAAGACAGCCTCTGACACTGGGATCAATCAGCATTTTGACTGATCCGCACAAGATTCATTAGAAAACAAAGTTTTGGCTTTAGAAGAGTTACCATTATCTTTAAAGAGTTATCTCCAACCAATCTCCATTCCCCTTTAAAGAACAAATCTTTGGTTCCTCAAATAGCATTTAAACGTTATCAAGTAGAAACCTAGTCCTCACTGTCAAAAGAAACTCTATTTCAATATTTATCAGTAAAGTTTTATACTCACTCATCAAGAGAACATATTTATTCCAAAACCCCTTGGTGCCCAAAATCAGAAGTATTGACTTGGGAACTTTCTGACTGGCTCAGAAAAGAGAGTAACTCACACAGGCCACTTACCTGTCATCTGGCCTTTTTGTTCCCCGCTCATAGGCAGAAGAAGGTGGTGAGAGAGAGCCCCTTCGTTTCCTTTTCTCTTTATTTTGAGTTTGCTTGTCTGGGTCTCTCTCTCTTGACCTGTTAGGAGTCTTTGGGGCAGCTGTTTGATCTCTGAAGCCAACAGCATCCCTTCCTCGGTCAGTTACTAAGGGAAAAGGGTTTTTAAAAATTTACTTGGCAGACTCTTCTCCATCATGATAGCATGTCAACTGTATAATACAATTTCTATCCAACAAATGGGTCTATAGACTCTCCTCCCTCAAAGGCCCATCGGAATTTGGATGAGACAGAAGGTGTTGTGTGTGTGCACGCACTCTATCCTGCAAGTCTCTGCCATGAATTCACTTTTCCATCTTCCCCAACAAAACTCTCAGTCCAAGCCTTCAACATTTCTAACAAGTTCTGTGGAATACACGCATGCAAAATGTTCCCATTACCTTTAACAGGGGAGTCTGCTTGCCGTTCAAAATGTAAAAGCCTTCTACTGCCCCTGTAACTCTGCATATTTAGTTTATGGAAGAGCAGCCTGGCATGTTAAGCATAAAAACCTCAAATGGAAAAAAATCTCTTCAATTAAAAAAAAGGTGTGTGTGTTTGGGGGGGGGTGATTAGACAATTTTTTTTTTTTTTAACAACTACCATTTCAAAAGGAAAATATTTCAAACACAGATGATGACAGGTTATAAATCAGGACGTTATCCAAGCCAGAGAGCTACATCTTCCCAAAAAAATGCCATTTTCCAACTGAAGGATAATACTATTAACCTCTTCTACTCAGCTTCTTTACCTAGAATGGTCCTCACCCAATTCCACTTACTTACTTTCCAAAATACAGCTGGGTCAATACTTACTGCTCCCAAAAGTTGTGTATTACTTTTCACTGACCTCACCTCCTACTTTCTTATCCCCCTATGAAGTCTAAATCCCACCACTGACTATTTCAATATAAATTAACTGGTACTACATGCTGCTGCTTTGTTAGCACCACTACCCTGATTAATCAGATGGCGCTCTTCTTAAGAGAATTTCTTATAAAATATCTCTCATAGCACAAAGCTGATTCACAATAAACATTAACTGCTTTTTCTTTTTCTCACCTCAGAAAAACATGCTATTACTTGTTTTCTTCCCTAGTGGCAGGATTAGGTTTATATCTGCCATTCTTGTAGTTCTTCTGTTGGTGAGCCCAAAGCTCCATTTATTTGCAAAAATGGTTCATCAGTGGCCATATATGAGCATTTGTCAGTGAGAACAGAACTCACCTCCACACACTGGTAGAAAACGCTATATAATTAGAACAACTGTTGCAGCTCACAGGGTATTAGAGCACAACATCGTTTTGGGAAGTACTGCTATCTAATTACTTCTGGGTCTGCCCGTGACTACTCTATTTCCTTCTTAAAACAAGGTTCTTTGGGCTGGTATTAACTTCCTTAAAATGCAGCTATTTCTTCACTATATCCTGGTAAAGTAAGAAAAGGAATCATACTAACAGTTCATATTCTGACTCTGCATCCTAGAATATGTGAGGTAGAGAAATTGTTTCATTTATTCTGGCTGATTTTTTTTTTCATATTATAAAAGGAAAGTAAAGCTAGACTACATATTTCCCCAAATAATTTATGGTTCTTGGGAATTTTAAAAGTTCTAAGCTCTTTAACTGCTTAACATTGAGGGGTAACATAGAAGCCAGGCTTTAATTATAAGTATTTCTTATAAAATGCCTGAGACTGATCGGGGGGCACATACGTGAAGGAGAGTAAAGTTGGCACACAAAAGGTGGCTTCCTGAAAAGATCAGTCATCGATTATAGACAATTTTCAGAAAGCATCTCTCAGAGGGCACATCAGACTAGATATTTGCAAAATATTGGGGGTAAACCTTCACAGATATTTAAGTTTTGCCCATCTTGCTAATGATTTCAACTCACTGAACCCAGAGAAGCTAGGCTCTGATGACCAAGTTTACAGTGCCACTGGTTTTGCCAACCAGCACTACTCAACCCTGCCTTCTTTCTTATGCGAGAAATTCTCTGTGGCCTTAAGCACGATGTTTGGCTATAAAGAAACTAAACCAATAGAGTTAAAAATATTCAAAACAAAAATAAAACCCCCACAATGATGCAAAGTACACCTCACAGGGCTTTAACCTATAAGATTATTTAACCAGTAAGATTAAAATTATAAAAAGTTCTTCATGCTAAAAATATAGAAAAAAGACCAAAACAACACAAAACAAAAAAAGAAACAAGAAGGGAAAAAGCAAAAAATACGATCTTTTTTCTTTTTTTTCCAAGATTTTAAAGTAATTTTTAAGTAACCCAACAAAGGGCTCGAACCTACAACCCTGAGATCAAAAGTCTTATGTTCCAGTGAACTAACTTGTCAGGCACCCCTGTAATAATGATTCTTAACCTTGTAAGGGATCACTGACTTCCTGAGAATCTGATGAAAGTTTTCAATTTTCCCCAGAAAAAATAATGTAAATAAAGGATTCTGCATATAAACATCTACAGGTAAAGACTTACAAAGACATTCAGGAATACAGGTCTAACAATGCCTGCTCTAGAGGAACAAACAAATGAAAGAAAAGCAACTACAAGCCATGACTTCAAGGAAAGCAACAGCACAGGCAGTATAAAGGGACATCTCCTTTGGCAAAAATTCACTAAGAAAGAATAAAAAGGCAAGTTTCCGAACTTTTACACCAAATACCTCATTTACCTAATTACATACTATCCGGTTTCAAAAACAAAATAGCTGAAGTTCTTATCATTTACCTCTGCATATTTCCAAAAGAGTATTTGTAAAGCCATATACACAGAGTACCTCTGAATACCTACTTGTGTTCTCCTTTTCAGTTTGACTTTTCTTTGGAATTCGATATACCTCCTGCAAAAATAAACCAAAAGAAGGGTTGTTAGTATGGAGTGGAAGTGGTGATTGTGTTGAAGCTAATTGATTTCACATGGTGACAAAGAAATAGGAACAGGCTGGTATTTAATTACTCTCCAAAATTTGACTTACATCTTTCTTTAAACAAGGATACTGGTCACTTAAAAACAAGTAAAAATTTGTAGCATTAAGCTACACATATCATACACATAAACATTTATTATGTATATGTATGTTTCATTTTGTTTTTTGAACATCTACCAAGAAGCTTATATGATCTCATTAGCCAAGGAGCAGAGTAAGTAACTGGGACATTATATTTCTGGAATATACTTCCTGATAATCTTCATATCTATATGATTTCTGCATATAAAATGAAGTCATCCATAGTTGCTTTACTGAGAATATTCCTAAGAACAATTCTAACCTCTCACTTGCCATCCCTACTTAAGGGAAGAAGGGTTAGTAATTAGTTACCTAAGAACACCTCAGAAAAACTGTATGTATTAAAGACAATGCGTGTTGTTCATATTTTTCTATAAATGCAAAACCTATTTGGCTAATGGCCAATTGTAATATATCCTTTCATACTGTTGTTATTTTAAAAAAGAAAAGCATTAGATCATTGTTGCTCTCAAAACAGCATCTAACAGCATACCAAAGTTGTTCTTGACAAATGTAAACTAAGTTTTTAAGCCCTGAATACCTTTTCTTGATGTAGAAATCTAAGGCTTAGAACATGTTCTGTTCCCTGACAATCCCTCGCTGTTCTAGTCAACAAGTAGCTCAACATTTCCTTATCCAGTCACCTTGGTAAGTGGGCAAATAGCAAATCCACACATTCTCAATGGTACATCACATGATACTCTCCCTTTAGAGTAATCTCATATTACTGACCATACCCCTATGACTTGGTAATTCCAATTTTTTAGCAACTGTACTCCAAGAAAATCAAAGAACTCCTCTTTCCACATGATTTTTGGTTCTAGCAATATTTGTGGAAAGTAAGAAATAATCTAATACCACACAACTGAGGAAGGGTCAAGATTGAATATTCAGTTGCAACTGCAGATGATAAACACAGACCAGAGACATTGGGCAATCTAAACGAACGCCAATTTTTTAGGAAAAATCCTTCAACACTCCATGCATGCTGACAAATTACCTAATAAAGATGATGACTGCCATGATTAGATGTGTACCTATCCTGTGTGTCAGGTTATCAAATAAAGCATTTCAAACGCATTATCTTTTTTGAGCTTCAAAACACCTCTATGAGGTAAGTACTATTATCTCCACTTTACAAATGAGAAAACCCACTTAAAAAGCTTAGCAACCTGACCAAGGTTATGATGCTATCAGACAGTATGACTCACAGCAATGTTATCTTCTGTACGAGATGACACAGGATATGGCGGACAGTCAGCATTATCTGGGGAGTACCACTTTAGGACTTGAGCATACATGCAGGCGGCATCCTCTATTCCCCCAGCCCCTCTTTCTTATGGAGGACTTCCACTAGAGCCGTGATTCTCAACTCTGGCTGCACAATTAGACCACTCCAGGAAACTTTCAAAGAAATACTGTGCCAGGGGCGCCTGGGTGGCTCAGTGGGTTAAGCCGCTGCCTTCAGCTCAGGTCATGATCTCGGGGTCCTGGGATTGAGTCCCGCATCACGCTCTCTGCTCAGCAGGGAGCCTGCTTCCCTCTCTCTCTCTGCCTGCCTCTCCGTCTACTTGTGATCTCTCTCTGTCAAATAAATAAATAAAATCTTTAAAAAAAAAAAAAAAAAAAAGAAATACTGTGCCAGACAAATAAAATCTGAAATTCCGGGCATGAGTTCCAGGCATCTACATCATCATCATCATCATCATCATTATTATTATTATTATTGAAGCTCTCCACAAGATTCTGATGCCTACATGTAGAAGGCTGAGAACCACTGAACTACTAGCTTCTCCTAGCAGCCTTCACTCATTCCTCCTCACAAGGAAGAATTTGACAGAACAAACTGTGTATGGCTATCCTCAGCTCAAAGCCATGGAGGGATGGCTCCGTGGAGGAATGTCTGGAGTTGTCCAGGTGTCACTGTCTAGCTGTGGGTAACAATGAATCAGGGATAAATACAGTAAGGACAAAGCGGACACTCTTAGTTCTGACTCTTCTGTCCACCCCCAGGAGGTTACCAAACTTGGGGAAAAAGTAAGAATGCTACTTATCAGCACCTACCTACACCATAAGAAAAAACAGGTATTCTATTAATTTTTAAAGGCTTGAAACTGAATTTTGCATTCGGTGCTCTGTAAATCTAAGCACTCCAGAAGGCAACATGTTCATTCATAAAGGGTGCTTAGATACAGACACGCATGTCTGTATCAACTAAGCATTATGCAGTATTTCCTTTTGCCTCAGGTCTTGGGTTCAAGATTTGAGTCAAGTGTTCATTACAAGCATTTATAGCAATTTATCACACAGACCTCAAGTTTAGAGCAAATGCTAAGTAGAAAATGTATTCCGAAGTTCACAAAATGGATGGTCATTACTGAAGTGTGACCAAAAGCTACTGACTTTTTACTCTGTGCCTAATACTATGGGGAACAAGTTAAATTAACATGCACCCAAGCACTTAGGAGCTATTAACTTGATCCTCCTCTTCATATAGTTAAAGCTGTATATAAAATTTAAACTGGAAACTCAGATTATCTACTTCAAGGTCCTGAATTTTTCCAAAGTCCCACAATAATGCAACCTGAAAAGGAAGCAGTCCTGTGAAGATTACTGTAATATTTCTTAAAATCATTCTATCTTGTGGATAAACAGCAGTAAGTTTAGCTTACATGACATGGAACGCTGGAATAATGTCATACACCTGCAGGCCACTGCCAAAAAATGTTTATCTGAGTTGGCTTCACTCACATTAACCCTCCACGTAAAACCACTTTCCTCTGTTAAAGATTCTACTCAAGAGACTGCATGTTATAAAAGAACACTCAATTCTGAGACAGGAGGCCTGAGTTTTGGGACTGACTATCCCTACCCTCAGAGGGACCTAAAAGAATCTGGTTCCCCACCCTACCTAATATTCTTTACCTATTATGCTGTTTTATTTCTTTGGTGTCTGGGTGCTTCTCCTAAGTAACACAGACTCACATGCACTCAAAGCTGTAATTCTTATTTTTTTAAAGTGATATTTTTGAAAAGATTTTATTTATTTATTTGTCGGAGAGAGTGAGTCTGTGTGTGTGCAAGAGCAGGGGGAGTGGCAGGCAGAGGAAGAGGGAGAAGCAGGCTCCCTGCCAAGCAAGGAGCCCTATGTGGGACTCAATCCCAGGCCTCTGGGATCATGACCTGAGCCAAAGGCTCAACCAACTGAGCCACCCAGGTGTCCCTCAAAGCTATAATTCTTAAGGGCTAAGACTGTCTTACTCTGCTGTATCTCTAGCACCAAGAAAATGTCTGACACACAGGCAACACTCAAATACTTGTTCAATGGACCAGTAAGTGAAATTCTACTCATAATTTGCAGAAATCACCACGAAGTGCTAAATAACTTCAAAGTACTACACAGCTTGCTTTTTAAAAATCACTACCTCTATACCTTCATTCTCTCATCCCTGTAAGAATGCTGTTTATGGGCCTTACATATAACCACAAACATGTTTGTGGGGTTGTATTTCCAGGATCAGATTAATACCTGTGCCTCTGCAACATTTTGAATTCTCATCAATGCTTAGAACAGCCCACCCTTGGTCAATTAATCATTCCTCTTCAAAGGCTCAAAATCAATCTTCAGAAATTATTTGATAAACACTGAATCACTGATAAGCTCATGCACAAGCAATGCCTCCAATATCCCTTTATAAAAGTATGTAAATATGTGTGGAGTTGTTTTGAATTTGTAGAGACAAAGACAGCACGAGTTCTTTGATGGTTATTCGTGGAAATCTGGTATGCTCATTTATATAACAAGTATTTAGGTAGAAACTAGGTGTTAAAAGCACATTATCAAGAGTCTCCTTTTCAAATACTGGAGATACCTAGGAACAGCCACTAAGAGGTTCACAGGCTAACAATGGTGGCTGGCAATTCTTTTACTGTGTGCCATGTCCTTTAACTGCATTCTCATATACTCTTACACTGCTAAGGCTGACTTGAAAGAAAATAAAATTTAAAGGTGGAAGGTCTTTATACCTAATTCATACAGTAGGTTCTCTATTTTTTAATAAACACTTGCCAGTCATCCCAATTCTGAGCATATATCCAAAGAGAATGAAAACTGGATCTCCAAGAGAGCTGCACTCCCATATTCATGGCAGCATCACTCACACTAGCCAAGATATGCAAACAACCTAAGTGTCCATCAACAGATGAATGGAGAAGATGTACTGTACAAGTATATGACGTGATATTATTCAGTCATGAGAAAAAAAGATATCTTGCCATTTATGACGACATGAATGAACCCCGAGGATATTATGCTAATGAAATAGTGAGGATGCAGAGAAACTGAAAACCTTATATGACACTGAAAGGAATGTAAAATGGTACAGCTATCATAGAAAAGGGCCTGGCAGTGCCTCAAACGTTAAATATGGAGTTACCATGATTCAAAAAATCCACGCTTAGATACATACCCAAGAGAAATGAAAACCAGTATTCACACAAAAGTTTGCACATAAATATTCATAACTGTATTATTCCTAACATTCAAAAAAGTAGAAACAACACAAATGTCCATCAGCTAACAAATGGATAACAAAATGGTTTAAAAACTATCTATACAAGGGAATATTATTCAGCTATAAAATGGAATTAAGTACTGATAAATGCTACAACATAGATGAATCCTGAAAACATTACGCTAAATAAAAACCAAAAAGAAAAGGATGTTATTATAGGATTCCACTTATCCTTGTTCACAGACTGTGCAAATTCACCAACTCACTAAAATTTCTTTGTAATGCTCAAATCAACACGTCAGAAAAAACATCACTAAT